TTTTGCGTTTATAAACATGTCGCATGTCAGACCAATGAGAACGACCAAAAATCATAACATTTCAGTACATTGTCTCTTTGCTATTTTTCATTTCTATTTGTCTTCTATGACGAAACCTTAATAAAGGGGAAACATGTTATATTGAGTCTCGTTTCCTACTTTGTTCTTTATTTCATTACACACACACACACACACACACACACACACACACACACACACACACACACACATATATATATATATATATATAAAAGGGTCGTTCAAAAAGTTCTAAACCTCGCCCAGAAAGAAGAGCCATAGCTGAATATTTTTCTTGTGGAAAACATACAAAGGTTAGACGTGTGCGACAAATCTAAAATGGACAAAACAGAGGCCCGAGCAGTCATAAAGTATTTGCAAAAAGAAAGGTATGACACCCAAGGAAATCCATGAGGACAGTGTACAGACACTTGTTGTGGAATCCCCTTCCTATGCAATTGTGAAGAAGTGGGTTGCAGAATTCAAACGGGACAAAGACAGCACAGAAGATGACCCTCGGTCAAGTCGTCCAAAAACCTGAACCACTGACGAACAAGTTGATGCTATTCACCGTATAGTTTTGGGTGACAGACGTCCCAGAAGATAACCATGTCCATAGGGATTAGTTCAGGTTCGGTCCATACTGTTTTAATTGAGATCTTGGACACGAGCAAAGTGTTTGCAAGGTGGGTCCTAAGAATGCCTGACACCAGAGCAGAAGCTAAAAAAGGGTTGACATTTTCAGGACACTTCTAATTTACTTTCACACTGACCCTGAACATTTTCACCGTAGTTTAGTAACTCAAAATGAAATCTGGCTTCAACTCTTCGAAATCAAAGATTCAAAGCAAACGGGGTAAATGTTAACATTTTCTACAAAACCCAAATGCATAGTAAATATAAGCAAGACGAATCTTCACTTAGAAACATTAATAAAGAAATACATAACTCCAGATGACAAAAACAAGAAAATTGAATTAATTATTTGACAAAAAAATTAAGCTACTAACCACATCATCAAAAATAATAATTCACCTGCAATACCCAAATTACAGAGAACCAATATTATTTACGAATTTACATATCACTTAATGAGCTGTGTTCCTAATCAATCCAAATTTGTAAATAATTATATTAGCTATGCTTAACAAAAAGACTCTCTCTGACTATAGCTCAATTAGGTCTGATTTAAATACCCATAGACACCAACCAAACTCTGTCCGTAACACACTCGTGGATAATACAAATTTAATAGTATCATTCACATGTACAAAAAGGCTATAAATAATAGAAGCATCATTAATAAAAAAAGAAAAGAAAAAATCAACACTCAATAATATCAACTATGAATATTGCCACAGTGTGCTGACCGTGTTCGGAAAATAAAATATTCCTATAACTCAATATACATACATAAAACATTATTCAGTTAAAAGTAACTTGTGCAAATGGATAGCTGTACAGGCTGGTGGAAAAGATAAACTCAAATATTTTTTAGAACTATAAAAGATAAGGAGTTGTGTATTAAAGGGATTCTTCTTTATGTGCCATGTCTCCTCAAAATGTAGGTGATCATGGCTCTCCACAACTTCCTGTCCTTTTTAGCTCTTAATAAATTTTGGCTTTCTTTTATTTCGCCCAAACCCTGTTCCGCCATTCACTTACTCAAGCTCGCTATGTTAAGGGTTGTTTTCCCCGTTCCTCTTGCCTTCAGTCTGTCCTGTGAGTATCAGATTTTCCAATCCCTCTATCCTCATTATATGACCTAGAAATTTCGATTGCCACTTCCAAATAAGTATGACTTTCTTTTTTGTTTCCATTTTGTCTAAAAGTTAATCGCTGCTCAAATAATCGGTCCATGGTATCCTTAGCATCCTTCTGTAGAACCAGGTTTCTGTTGCTTCAACTCTCTTCTTCATCCTTGAGGAGGTTGTCTAGCACTAACTGTCATACAGATATCACATCATAGTTTAGTACTTTGTCTTTGTTTCTAGCGAAGTTTTTCTATTTCTTAATACTCTGCTTAGCTTTTGGGAGGCATTTTTGGCCATCACACTACGCCTTCGGATCTCAGTGTAGCACTTTCCGTCCTCTATTAAAACACTTCCCAGATATTTATATTTTTGTACTTGTTTGATTTCGATATCTCCAATTTGTAATTTTCATTTTGGGTTCATCCTTTTGCTCTTCCTTTTGCTAATAACCATGCATTTTATCCTCTTGCAGTTGATTTGTAATCATATCTACTCACTTCCCTTCATTACGTTTTCTGTAGGAGTTTTTGGAGCTTTCTTTCCGTGTTTGTTATCAGCATTGTTTCATCTGCATATCTTATGTTATTAAGATTGTGGTCGCCAATACGATACATAAAAGAACATCTGTGGTCAAACTGCTGAAGCAAAGGCTATGTGGTTAATAGTGGAAATCGCCTTTACAAGTTGCGAGGTGATGTGATTCTTTGATGTGAGAATAGAGGTGGCAA